AATTAGGCTTAAAACAAGGGAGTATTTATTGTTACTTTTCTAATATTTTTCTTGTAACTCCATAAATATCTGAAGAAAATTTATGAACCTTAAAAATGTATTATCTAAAGCAGGAAGTCAAGTAGAATGTATTATGAGGAGTTATAGGTTTTAAGTAAAGTGAAATTAAATTAGTATCTTCTTATGAGTCCCTTTAAAGAAAGCATATACTTTGAGTTGATGCATAAGTATAGGTTTATTAGGTAGGAACCTAGAGAAAAATGTAAAAGAAAAATAATCCTTACAAGGTGATGTGGTAATGGCAATAGCTTAATACAAACTAGCACAACGAATTCTAAGGTAAGAATAATTTTCTTGTAAGATCAATTAATATAATTTTAAAAAATAATAAAGATTTGTTTAACAAAGTAATAGATAAACAACATAATTAATTTTTAAATTAATTGATTTTATGTTAAGAATATAGGTAATTTTTAATTTTATCTATTTTATTTTAAATATTAATTAAATTTAATTTTTAATTATATTTTTTACTTTAAAATATAAGAATACTATTTTTTAATATAACATTATATCTAACTAATTTAATTTAATTAAACTTATTATTATGACTTGTTACGTTTAAACTCACATATTTATGTCAATATTTTAACAATGTTTATTACACTTTTATAATTTTTTATGTTAATTCTTATAAGTTTATGTTAAGATTGTCCAGTTGTTAATTATCACTATACAATAAAACCTTTATAAATTAATATTCTTTAGATCATGAAAATTTTTATTAATTAATCAAGATATTCTTTTTTTTTCAAAACATTGAATTTATATACATGTGTTGTGTATTGTGATTATACAAATATTACTTAATTAGTGAATTACAAATTATCATTATTCTATGTACTTGTTTAATCAAAACAAATTCATAAGGTAATTGGCCTTATTAAATAGAAGTCAAGGATCTATATATTTTTACAACAAACTAAAATTACATTCGATGTATACGTAGTTAATATGCTTCATGAACATTAAGTTAAGCAAAAATATAATATCACGAACGATAAAACTAAACACAATAATTTTTCATCTTAAAGGTGTAAAGAAATCAACAATACGCATGAAATACGTAAAGTATTAAATAAGTACAACATAGAAAACCCAAATTTCATCAAAAAACAATAATCACATTACGTAATTTTTTCTTGTAATATGAAAACACTATACTAAAACTTCTTAATGTACTAACAAAAGTTAAAAATGAGGTTCAAAGAGACATCAATTTAAAAAAAAAAAACAAGTAACATTAGAGTTGTATTTTAAAAAAGCCTCATAATTGAGTCATGTATATATATATAATTTTAATATATAAAAAGATTATTAATTTATATATTAAATGAGACCTATGTATTTTTTTAAAAATATATTATCGTATAAATTTAGCAAATTATTAATTTAATATGTTGATCCTAAGTTGGGGCCAATCAAAAATATTATTTAATCAAAGTTATTAATTTATCAAAATTTTATAATAATTATTTTTATCTTTATTATTATTTTTTTATAAATTAAAAATTTTAAATCATTAAATACTTTTAACTCAAGAATATAAATTTAAATATTTTATTTTAAAAAAATATATTTATTTTGATTTAATTGACTTATTATATTAAATCTCATACATTTACGTCAACATGTTAATAATACTTGTCCCACATTTGTAATATTTTATGTTAATCCTCACAAGTTTACATTGAAGTTTTTCAATTGCTAATTTTCACTATAATTATTTTTATCCTTATTATTCCTTTATAAATTAAAATTTGTAAAACATTAAATACTTTTAGATTTATAATATAAATTTAAATATTTAATTTTCATAAAAATTATATTTATTTTGACCTAATTAACTTGTTACGTTAAATCCTATACATTTACATTAATATTTACGTATTGATGTCAATGTGTTAAATTGAACATAATAAATCAATTAAGTAAAAATAAATATAATTTTTTTGAAAATTAAACATTTACATTTATATTATCAAGTTAAAAATATTTAATGATTTAATAATTTTAATTTATAAATGAATAATAATAAAGATAAAAATAATTATAGTGAAAATTAGTAATTGAAAAACCTTGACATAAACTTGTAAGAATTAATGTAAAAAATTATAAAAGTGGAACAAATATTGTTAAAATATTAACATAAATTTGTGTAATTTAACATAATAAGACAATTAAGTCAAAATAAATATAATTTTTATGAAAATTAAACATTTAAATTTATATTATCGAGCTTAAAATATTTTATAGGTTACAAATTTTAATTTATAAATAAATAATAATAAAAATAAAAATAATTAAAGTAAAAATTAGCAGATAAAAAACTTTGACATAAATTTGTAAAAATCAACATAAAAATTACGAAGGTAAAACAAACATTGTCAAAATATTAAAATAAATGTGTGTGATTTAACATAATAAGTCAATTAAGTTAAAATAAATATAATTTTTTAAAAATTAAATATTTAAATTTATATTATTGAGCTAAAAGTATTTTATGATTTATAATTTAATTTATAAATGAATAATAATAAGGATAAAATAATTATAGTGAAAATTAACAATTGAAAAACATTTGCATAAATTATTTTTATTCTTCTTATTATTTATTAAACTAATTTTTATTTTTATTTTTTATAATAATAATTTATTTATTTATTTAATTTTTATTATAATTATTTCTATTTTTACTATTATTTATTAACCTAATTTTTATTATAATATTTATTTTAAAATTTCTCAATGATTAATATTTTTTACTCAAGAGTTTAAATGTATGATTAATTTCATAAAAATTATGTTACTCTCTTTGTTCTTTTCCTTTAATTAATATTATTAATTTTTGTATGTTAAGAATTATTTGATAGATGGAGTTTTAAATTGTTTTAATTAGCTACACCTATATGTAACCGTAGTCCGACTCGACATAAGTACTAATAAATAAATTCAGTAAAGATAATTGGTGAACCTGGCTTTCAATATCATTAAGCAAAAAAGACGTAAGCAAAACTAGTGGGAAGTGCATTAATCAAGTGCGAGGGCACACAGGAAGTGGTGTAAACAAAATGTTCATTGGAGGTTTACACTATCATTAGATTTCGATGCATCCTGCTTACTCCCCATTCCCACCGACCAGCAGAAGTATCCCTGGGGGTCTCAATTCCATCTGTAGAAATGTATTATTGTTGCACTGCCAACACTGATGCATACACATAGCGAAGTTAGATGATCCCGAAGTATCTCCTGTTGTTCCTAACTCGGGGTAACTGCCCTAATCAGACTAAAGTGACTGCAGATTTTCATTTCACCCCTTCCCTTCTCCCTATTACATACAAATCATACACACCATCCGTTGTTCTGATTGCCCTATATATAGTTTCTTCTCCGCTATTTACAACCTTTTTCAATAAATTTCATCGGGAATTCGTCATCGTCAACCTGTTTTCCCGTCAACATCATTATCATCGTTGTTTTATAGATGCAATTTCATTGCATTTTTTTCCCAGAAGAAATCTTGCCACGGTTAAACTTAACACTGAGGTGCATGCCCATTGCCTAGACATCCTCCAAGCATAGGCTAATATGTTCTAGATCTGTCATCTGGTCCCCCTATAAATAACACGGTAACTTGTCGCGTGAACTTCCCTGACAAGCTGATTCCTGAGTCAAAGCGTTTCGAGCCTATCCCTCGATCAACCAATATTATACACCTACAGAACACGGTGCATTCAGCGATACGTTCTAGGTCATATCAGCCAAGTTGTAGTTGCCATTTGTCATTCTACCATCAGCTTTCAGTTGTCATTCCGCTAGACTACAAATGTCCATGTGACTGATGGGATACCACTGTGAGTTGCATTGTTTATCTTCTCAAAATTTTAAAAAGGCAAATCATAACTTCTTTGATTATTATGGATGCTTTGTTAAAGCATTAATCAGTATATGCAATTTTTAATTATTGTACTCGCGATGCTGTGGGCTACAGTTTGAGGCTGGCGTAAAGGCTTGAGGATGAGTGTAGGAAGGCGTTCAACGAAAAGCTCCGTCAGCAAGAAAGGCAGAGTAGTGAAGGCGCTTTCATTTCCCATGACGGATTACTTGTATTCTTCAGAAGCACTTATGTTTATGCAGCATCGATCGATTCGATGCATATACTTTCGCTCTTCTTTCTCCATCAATTAGGGATGCAAGTTCAGCAATTGGAGGAGAATTTGATCAAGCTCCATTAAAGAGAGGAAGAATTAAGAAAAGTCAAAATATCATTTAACTACCATTAATGCTCGGCTTGCCGCTATATTTGGTATTAGCTAGCTGTTTTCCTCCATCCGTCGGATACCTTTCAATGGAGGGTTGCTCTGGTTTTAACTACAAAGTAATGATAATTTATGTTTACGTGTATAGCTAGTTCATCATAAAACCATTCTTCATTCATTAATCAAAACTATGTTCCTAGGTGTAGCCTAGCTAATAAATCTTTTTTAGTTATTTAACGTAAATTTAAAATAAAATTTTGGTGAAAAAACTAAGACATTGTTGGCATTGCTTTCATTTTTTGTTTCCCTTTTGAATTTTTTTTGAAAACAAAAACAGAAAGCATGTTTAGTAATACAATTTTGTTTTCGATTTGTTAAAATAAAAACAAAATTTTCTAAAATTGTTGGAAGCAAAAATTTTTTACTTTCAATGTTTTCGGAAACAAGTGAACAATATCCATATATAAAAAATAATATTCATGTATATTTTTATAATAAAAATTATAAGCTAATTAAATTAAAATAATATAAAAATATTGAATTATTTTAATATTTAGTAATAAATTCATAATTCATTAATATTAATAATGTATAGAGAATATATAATAATATAATAACTTTATTAATATCATTTAATATTTAATATCATATAATTTAATTTTTTTATTAGGTAATATTAGTTTAATATTATAAAATTTATTTATTTAATACATTGTTATTTTTATTTAGTTCTAAAAATTTTATGTTTTGTATTGAATTTTTCATGTTTGCAACAATTTTAAGTTTTTCATTTCATCATGTAAAAATATTACTTTTACTAGAAATGTCTTATGCTTTCAAAGTTTAAAACAAAAATTTACGAAAAAAGATGACAAAAACAGAAAGAGATGTCAAACTGCGCCTTAGGCAATTGGATGTACTATTATAACATTGAAAAAAGAAAATCTTGTAGCCAATAGTTTTGGATCTGAGGTTAGAAAAAGAAGGTCACCGTCACCATTTTTGACATGAACCAGCTAATGCGGACAACCTTGTCTAACAATTTCGTTGGATTGTACTAATCTAGTTAGCCTTGTCTGTATTTTGAACTCGGAGGAGCGTGCTCTATCATTTCATTGGCCAAAGGCAGACCATATACTTGGCTGTCCTCCAACTAAATAAATCAATAATTAGTTGAGATCTTAATATGATTGTGAAGAACATAGTAAATCAAAATCTTGCAAACAGATAGAGCATAGAAACGCATAGATTCGAGATTTTTGCATTTTTGTACCCCCACTATAGTAAAACTGTTTTACGCGGAGAGCCCTGAAGCAGATTCTTCTCACAGAAATACCATTGTCAGTTCAAACTTTCGTAAAGGACTAGGGACACTTTGTCCTCTCATCAATATATTCTACAATGACAAATTTGTACTTCAACTGTAAAATCAATCTTACCATACGAAAGGGTACCGATAGTAATTGTGATCCAATACGAAATTGCGTAAACGACATTATCCACCAAATTATTTTAACAGATTCCGCTCATGGGACCCACCAATTCAAAATTTTGGAGGGTTCTATAAAATGGACTATAGGTTTTCCCTCTTTTCTTTCCTCCATTTCACGTCATTCATCCAACGAGATTGTCGCCGTTCACTTCGATACACAAAATCGGATGATACAAACAAAAATCTCCCCTCTCTTTTACTTTTCATAGAAATTAGGGCTTCACCCAATCAATCATTTTTTGTTTCTTAGTTTCCTCTCAGGTTTGAGAGAGAGGGAGGGGGGAAAACCAATCCAATGGAATTTTGAAACACTTGAGACTTTCTCTCTGAATTTCGGAGCAAGTTCGAGAGAGAAAGTGGTTCACATTGTTGTTGTTGTTGTTGTTTGTCTGGTTGGTTTATTTGCATAAAACAACAAAACAAATCAACACGCTCCATGAGAAAAGACGGAAAAAAAAATCAAAAATTTCAAGATTAGATAAACAAGATAGCAGGAAATATGAAAATGGTTGCAACTTGAAACGTGGACTTGCAAAGGAAATTTCAGTGAAAAATGGATGACCAAATTGGTGAACAAATGGAGGAATTCTTTTCCATCGAAGAACCGAGTGAGGCGGAGGAATTTTTTGATATCAAATACGAGTTTGATGCACCGCAATGCTACGATTTCAGTCGGCCAGAAAGATATTGGGAGGCTAAAGAAGCCGAGCTCTGGTTCGAATCAGCTGGAAGCTATCCGCCTTCGCGTAAGCCTTTTCCTAATCATTATGCAATCAAAAAGCCTTTTATAGTAGTAGTAAACGTTAATAGGAATTTCTTATTGTTTAATAATTTTCCAGCTTTTGTAATAAAGTTGAAGTGGAGATATGATGTTGATGGGGATGAAGAATTTAGCAATGGTTCAATAGATTATGATGATAGAGGTACATTCTTATCTTTATCATTTTCTTTTTAAAACTTCTGATTAGCATCTCAATTGTCTAATCGGTGCATTTCCTTGGAACTTTCGTTTAATTTGGCTGCTCCAATTGATAGAGTTGACTATGGTTATTCTTTTCTAATTATATTTTTTGAAAATCCGAGAAAAGTTGTTCGATGAAGGAAAAAAACCTACAATATGCACTAAGATTCTTTTAATCTTATTTCTTCTCTTTTTACTTATGGACTAAAAGTTTGCAATTGCTTTAATGAAGATACTCTGAGGGATAAAACCGAGTCTGGGGTCAAGTCATCCCTATCTAGGAGTTCGACTTTGATGAAACCGACAGCAAGTTACTTAGCCAAGCAAAACCAAGATCGAGCGGTTCATTTTAGCCAGCTTCATAGAAGGTGTTACTCTATTGTAGTTACCATTTGGATGATGAAATTGGTAGTTAAAACTTAATGCTCTGTTTGCATATAAAATTCTGGCCCCAAATTCAGGGGTTCATTCTCTATTGAAATGATAAATTAAAAGGTCTTTACTTGTTAATTCCTCCACTTCTCAGGTTTCGAAAGTTTTTAGACAGACTTGATGATAAGAGTACGAAGAGTTCTTCTGTGACTGAAGGCGATGCTACCAAAAGACAAAAGCTGGAAGCTGGTTACCTATGCAAGGTGCAATCAATTATTTTATTTGACAGTATGATTGGACCTCATTTTCCCTGTATTGTGGTTCAAAGAGTTTCTCTGGTTCATTAGCTTATAGAGCCAGACCAATCATTATTCATATGTGAGAATGTGTGAGTTTCCCTGCTATAATTTTCCATGTGATGTTTAAAAAAGAAATTAAGGATTCCAGGAAGCAGGATCCCTCCGGTAATTTGTTATGGGCAAAGAGTATTTTGTAACTCAAGCGGTGATTTGGCTTATGATTGTGTTATTTCTTTCTCTTTTCTTGCTTCTTAGTTGTATATTGCATGGCATACACCACTTTTCTGCTTTGACTGTTTATTTGAGATTTCATGTTCTTTTCATCATTCTTGCTTTTGTTTTATGTGAAAATGCTCATATAGCTCAAAAAACTTTGGATTGTCCCTACTAGACATTTTATAATCCATTCTTATATTTTTGCAAAGCAGGTTGCTAACTTGTCGCATCGAGCTCTTTTCGTGCACAAGAAACCTAAAACGGTAAGTTGTAGAAGGAAGTATTTGTCCAGCGCTAGACTAATATTCAAGAGTAAATTTTTTGTTGGTGATTATCGATGGCTTATTCAAACACGTCTTTATTGTATGTACATGTTTGCTGGTACTGTTAATATGTAATAAAGCTCGAGTCAACATTATCAGCATTGTTGGCGAAGTTGTTTAACAACCTTTAGTTTGTTATCCAGGTCCGATCCCTTGATGGTAACTCAGTACATGCTAAGCCTAAAGTTACAATTCCTAAAGAACCAGAGTTACAAACAGCAAGAAGGGCTCAAAGACGTAGGTAGTATTGACTTCCTATTATTTTCCTTTGTCAATCATTTTGAAATCAAATTGTTGTGCTTTGCCTACTAATCTGAAAGGCCATATGTTATCAATTTCAGGTCTAGAGTAAAGGCAGAGTCAGATGAAAATGCAAAATCACATGCTCATTTCTTTAAAGCACTCCCCTTAAACAGAAAAGTTGGTACTTCCAGTGCATAAAATTTGTTTTTCTCGAACTTTGTTGGAACATTAATTTTAGAGAAGGTTAAGGTATGTTTGATGTTGAATGTGTAATCTCTGATTTCTTTGGGCTTGATAGATTCTCGAGGCTCCTTCATTGCCCCTTGCCAAGAAAAGCCTACCTCAGCGACCAGAGTTTCAGGTAATTGCTGTTTACAGTAACTTACTAGTTTGTCTCCACTTATGAATACCTTTCTTGTAATTGTCTAGAGAAATGCCTTGATACCTTTTATGGATAACTCTATGACACAGATTTTAATTTGTTTCATTGCCTTTAGTTATTTCACCTGAGGACATCAGAGAGAGCCAGGCAGCATGCATCTAACAATGTGGGTTATTAAAATTTTATTTCTATAGCTCTCATGTTAAGTGTTCTCTCAAGTTTTAAGCCTGTTTGGCTTCTACTACCTATCATTACATTTTTTTATTGTTGGGAGCTAATAGTTTCCTCTCTCCAGGCAATGAAACTCCCTAATTATGTTTCGACTTCAAGAAATGAAAAAACTGGCCTCAGAAGGTAAGAGGGCTTTGACTTTTAGCATCAGTCTGTTTTTGTTCTTCAAAGCTTTCTTTCCTCCGACACTTGATATTCTTTTTCTCTTGTGGTGACTGGTGAATAATCACTCGGTTAATGGCCAAATTCAATTGCTTGCTGAAGTGGTTATTTTTTCCTTGCCTTTTGTGCATAGCTTCAACTCTGTCAACGCATTAGAGGAGAAATTTGAAGCTGTTAATAAATTTAAAGCTTGCCCTCTTAATAAGAAGGTTCTGCAAATATCTTGGTGGTTCTTTGTTAATTTGTTATAGAGATTTATTTTTTAAAATACTTATCACATATGGAACCATTTTGTTGGGTTTTCAGATAATGTCAAGAATAGGGCAAACTGGTGTCCTGCAGAATATGAAGAAGGAAACATCAGCCCCAATGGTAATTAACCTCAACTCCTTAGGTACAGTTATATGTTTTCATTTGTTATTCAGAGATTTTTTCTCTATTAACACCAATAGAGCTTTTACTTTCTCCAGGAATTCAAGATTTTAGCAGACAGGAGGCCTCCAGATGAACCGCCAATAGAATTATTGAATAAGGTGTTACATGTTAATTGCTTTATTGAAGCCACCTATAGCCTTATTTAGGAGGCTTCTAAATGAACCATTTAAAGAATTTCAGAATAATTCACATCTTAACCATCCTTAATGGAATTGCTTAATTTGTTCTTGGTTTGGTTTTGTTTATTCACTACTCTCTTTCTTGATATGGTATCCAGCTCTCCTTGTCATCTGAAGTCCATTCTGGCGAAAAATCTCGAGCAAAAATTGTTTTTTCAGAGGTCGGTTCCTTCAAACTTCTGATTGAAACCTAAAACATGTCTATGCATTGTAATCTTATTAATACAAGTTTTCTTCTTGTTGAATTAAGGGATTTAAAGAGAATGAAACAGTTCCTTTCCTTCTGCAATGTCAGGTACATTACCCACAGTTTACAGGCACCACTAGAACACAGGGCCGAACTAATTTGATATGTCTGTTTGCCATTTTTGCATTGATTATAGTTTTAAAATATCCACCTTGCAGATTATAAATGCGGGCAAAGAAAATTTACAAAGGATTGGAGGGATGGAGTATCAATGTAGGAATGACAGGACTATCGAAATTGGGCGACAACTGAACGTTAACAGGTAACACCAGTTTCAACCTAGTCGGATTTGACATGGCTGATCATTGCCCACTTTTATAAGTAACTTTCATCTATTGATTCTCTTCTCTTTGTCCTATAAACTCCTGGTTCTGCCCTGTTGAACTTTTGCCACTATTTAATTGAGATTAATGGCTGTGTTGGTTAAATGTTATGCCGGTGTTTCTAGTTAAGCTAGATGGAATCCAGAAATAAGCCCAACCAGCCTGTTGAAAAACTTTGTTCTGTTTTGGGGGGAAAAAAAAAAACTAGCCTGCCGTTAGCCCAGGTCTGCTCCGAGTTATCGTTAAAAGCAGTTCATCTTTCTCTTCATCACTCTGTAATACACCATTTTGAGCCAGTATTTACATGGATCTGACATTTTTTTTAATAATTGATATATACACATTCTCATCGATAATAGTATGTAGGATCAATGAAAGTTTCTCAGAACACAGCATTTAATTAAAACAAGAGCATCATAAACGGTTCTTGTGACAGGAGCCTGAGATTGGACATAACCTGAAAGTCCTCAGTCAGTTTGGTGGTCACATTTGTCCTTCTTGCCGCACAAATGATTGGGGTACGCCGCAGGCTCATTTTTGGTGAGAAAGTAGATTACTTCTTTTAATAATGGAGTGGTATTTATTCCCTTAAAAGAAAATGATTTTGAAGAATGGCAATATTTTTTAAAATTAGTTAACTTTTGTCATGTTTTCCTGCAAAATGTTGCTACGGCATAGCAAATGTAACTGTCAACCATGATGTATGTATACACTATAAAGGCTGCAATGTTCCTCAATGTTTGCTTCGTTTGTCTAGATGTCGAATTGGAGTATACTTGTAAATTATGTACTCCTGGACTGGACTGTCGATTCAGAGAATCTCTCATCATTGCGAATTTGCAGGCACAAGTCAACCGAATACAACACCAGGAGTTTCTTTCTTTCCAGTTTGGATACCCACCCACCCACCCAATAGAGAAATGCATGAGTTTCGAGTGTCTGCCGGACAGTTTATAAGTGAAAGCACATGCAAAGTACGGAACACAAGCAAAACCCAATCAACTTAATTCCTCCCTAAATTTTGACCCATATTGACTTAGACAGCCATGTCTATAACCATATGAGGACATAGATCGGAGATAGATTTTGTTAAATTATCAAATTCATAGGAGAGGGGCTGTACCTTGAGGCACAATTGCAAGATTATAAACATGATAACAGAATCCATACACCCTCAACCATCAGGATTTAGGAGATGGTTTACAAACGGTTTTGAGAACACTATTCAATGCCGAAGCAATTTAAGTTACGAAGGAAAAAGACTTGTCAGTAGCAGAGAGCATTTCACTATATGATGCATTATGAGGTGATGATGAGTGATCCATGAGTCCTGATCCAGGAAAAAAAAAAAAAAGAGGCGTGCACTGTACTTTTACATATTGACTTTACAGAACAAAATAGATGACTCCTACAAATTTCTCAAATCGCTTGTGCAAAAGGGTCCATAAAGGATCAGCGCCTCATAACTGGATGGGTCTCTAAAGAAACATCCAAAAATAAAAAAACCCACATTGGTGGGACCTATGCTCATATTTCACACCATCTGGGGACCAAAAATAGCCCCTTCAAACCAAAGCCTGGGATTAGATCTCATTACCCTCTCCTCTTCCTCCACGTGAATTAAAAACAAAGATGGCTTTAAAGAGTGTTCTTTGATATGACTTCCCGAAACCGAACAAACCACTGAGCATCAGATGAGTTGGTGTCCTGCTGAACTTGCTGCTGTTGCTGCTCCAATTGCAATCGCTTCTGACCTTTGCCAATGACAAATTGAGAATAGTCAATGGACTTGGGAGGAGCTGAAGATAGCATAGTTGGAGGAGCTGGAAGTAGGGAGACCAAAACCCTGGCAACCTCGTGCATGGTAGGTCTCTCAGAAGGGTGTCGCTTTGTGCACAGCAAAGCAAGTTGGAAGGTTTTTCTGACATGGTATAAATCCATGCATGTAATTGAGACTTCTGGATCAACAGCTTCCATCACGGTATTATCATCAGCCTTTGACAGTATCTGAACAACAATGAACAGGCACAATATATTGAACTTTGCAAAAAAGAATTTGTTGATGTTTTATGTTTAACAGGTATCTATCACATCCGATTAAGCTAAGACAGTCAAGTATCAAATTTTTTGCAAGTAAAAAAACCATAATCCAATGTCAGCTATCATGCGGTTTGAAAAGGACCAGATAACCAAAAAGCCAAGTAAGCGCCACCCACAAAAGATTCCTTCGGTCTCATTGAGATTTTAATAAAAGATTACTATCATCTTAATGAGCCATAACTCATTCAAAATTAAAAGTACATCAGTAAAATTGCATACACACACAATGAAATATTGCATAGATGCTCATTCTGAACACTTTAATCAAAACAGCCAATAGAGCATTGCAAGACAGAAATTAATTATTATATTTAAGGCTTTGCACTTGGCTCAGGCAAAACTTATAACAGTCAGTAAAGCTTTCAAGCATCTATTCAGAAATAATTGATTTAACATGATAAGTAACATAACTCACCAGTTGATGCAAGTTTGATTCATTGTCCACAGCCTTTTTCCCTGTCAGAAGCTCCAAAAGAACAATGCCAAAGCTGTAAACATCTGATTTTTCATTAAGTCGAGAGGTACGGGCATATTCTGGGTCAATATAGCCAATGGTTCCCAGAACATAAGTAGAGGCATGGGTCTTTGTAGTTGGTATGCATTTAGCAATCCCAAAATCAGATAGATGAGCCTCAAAATTCTCGTCAAGCAGAATATTTGAGGACTTAACATCCCTGTGAATAATTCGAGGGTTGCAATCATGGTGAAGATAGGCAAGCCCCTGAGCTGCTCCAACAGCAACTTTTAACCTTGTTTCCCAATCAAGTTTTACCTTTTTTGATGGCCCTGTCCCATGTAAACTCACATGAATCAGTATTTGCTACACGAGTAAGATAGTCAAAACTAACATTATTAAAAACAATAGTAAAAGAAGCAGCAATGAAATATTTAATTTGACACTAAATTTCACAAACCAAAAATTACACAAGTATTCTACATTAACAATAGGGTAGATAAAAAGGAAGCTTAATGCACGACTACCAACCATGTAAAAGATCCCAGAGAGAGCCATTCTCCATATAATCATAAAAAAGGAGGTTCCCATATGGAGATAATGAGTAGCCATGCAAGCTGACAATGTTCCTATGTCTGATGCTGCCTATGGTTTCAAGTTCAGTCTCAAACTCCCTCAAGTTGTGTGGACACTGATTGTAGAGTCGCTTAATCGCAATTGGTCGGGAATTTTTCAACATACATTTATAAACTGTGCTAGAAGCACCATAACCTATGATATACTTATCACTCAAATTCTCAGTGAATCTCATTATATCATCAAAGGTATGAATTGCCATATCCATGTGGAGAACTACTAGCTTCGGTGGACCTGAGAGAACAAAAAAGGACTTGAGATTTGCAGAAACATGAAAGTATACATTGGTCAATGTTAAAGATACACATGCCTTCCACAGTTTTCATAGGTCCCTTCATCATTTGCTTCTGTTGGTTGGACTTATAAATCGCAACAATAATCATAGCTACCAATGTGATGAAGCCCAAAGTCGTACAAACAACTGCAGCCCTGGAGAAAACTGTTGGAGAACAGAGAGCAAGACAATTAATGAGAAAATATTCCAACTGAACCCAATAACAACACAAGTACCTAACAAAAATCCCAAAAAGATTAGGTTGATACCTCTAGACTTTGGTAGAGAGGGGCCACATATCGATCCAAGCCAATTGCCGCATAGCAACGGATTTCCAACGAAGCTGATGACCATATATAAATCAATATATGAGACAATTTGAGACAGTTGTAAACAAGGAATAGAATATACTTGCATACCTATCTGATGAAAATCTGGTGAAGTTTCTAATGGAAGGTATGATGCCAGATAAGTTGTTATAAGAAACATTCCTGGGTGCATTAGTGTAGAAATTCAGAAACAAGTCTGAATCTATGTGCACATGAACTGAAGATGGAAGAGAAATAGAGAAAAAACTTACAAGTTAGCAAGACTGAAACAATTAGTTAGCTGCTCTGGGATTTCCCCTTGCAACTTGTTGTTGTTTAATATTCTACCATAAAATCAAGTAACGGCATCAGTGGCTTCACAAACAATAACTCCCAAACTTTAAATTCTTCATCAAGCATGAGACATTAACTTACAGAGAAGCAATATTTTGCAACTGACCCAATTCGGCAGGAATGTTGCCAGAGAGGCTATTAAAAGAAAGATCCCTGCAATGGTAAAGATAAAAGTTAATGAGGGTTAACAACCACATACTCACCACAGCCTTAAAGCCACACTAAAAGCTTACATGATTTGTATGCTTCTGAGATTCCCACACTCAGCAGGTAAAGGTCCATCAAGTTCATTGCTACTCAAATTCCTGAAAGTGTAAAAACAAATAAAGCTACCATACCATTGGAAAGAAATAACAATAATAAGGTTTGGAAAAATAAAAACAGATCGGTAATTTGCTCACAAGGTAAGAAGATGCTCTAGGTCACCAATGGAAGCTGGAATAGCTCCTGAAAATTTATTGCCAGAGAGATCCCTGAAAAAACAACAGTAACTCAGACATCAACTTTGAAAAACAAGACTCTTCCCTTCAAAAGAAGAAAAAAACCAGTAACGTTACAAAACACATACAATGTATCAAGGTTGATGATATGCCCCAGTTCAATAGGTATCTGGCCTTTGAAATCATTCATGGATAGATTTCTTGACGTCCAACATGTGATTAACCGACTAATTAGATCACTTGTTGATTACTGACAAATAAATACTTCTAAATTCATCACCACATTAAAAACTTACAAATAAGTTAAGCTCTCTAGAGTTCGGAAACCCAATGGAATAGACCCATTAAGGCGATTACCATGCACATTGCTGAAACACAAATACAACCAGCTCAATCAGTTTCAAGATTTAAACAAAAAACACAGAAATGTTCAGACATTCAACAGATATCCTTACAACTGATTCAGGGCTGTACAGGAGCTGATGTTATGAGGAATGGGTCCTTCCAAGTAATTGTTGGCAAGATTCCTGATAAAATAGTGACGAACTGAATAAATAACTGCTAAAAATAAGAATATGCAATGCAAAGTAATAAAAACTTACAATTCAAACAACTGCACCAGCTTCCCAAGTTCAGCAGGGATTGTACCAACTAGCTGATTGTCATTCAATTGTCTGCAGAATAATTAGTTAAGTGACATGTCCCATAAACATATCTCATGAGTGAATGCCGCACATATATGGCTACAATAACAAAAAATTAACGGGGACGGCAACTCACAGATAGCTAAGTTTTGACATATTTCCCAGTTCTGGTGGAATTGGACCAGTAAGCTTGTTTCCATGGAGGTACCTACAGCCGCAAACAAATATATATGGTAAAACAACACAACAGTAAAATGAAGCTCATTTAAGCATGTCCGCAATAATAACTCACAATTTTCCAGTGTAGGATAAATTGCCAAGTATCGATGGAATAGGCCCAACTAGCTCATTCTCACTCAAATCCCTGGAAAAACAAAAAAATCAGACAATGTATCTACCACCTAATACCACATACCTCGAACAGAAGCTATTAGGGAACACAGTTTTATTCAGATTTTGGAAAATGGAATACTTACAATACTGCAAGGGCCTGCATTAAACCAATCACCTCAGGGATTTTCCCTGTAAGCTTATTTCCTTGAAGTGACCTATCATTAGCAATCCTATTTAGATTTGGATGAACTATACGATTCCCAACCTTAACAATCTAGTAGCTTTACACATCTACAACAAATTCACAATAACAAAAATAATGACAATGCATAAGCTTTAAAACGAAACTCACAATGTCGCAACTTGTAGGAAACCAATATTATATGGTATCTCCCCAGTAATCTGATTATAAGAAACGTCCCTAAAATTGCCAATCAACAGAGTTTTAAAAATGAAGAACAACTACATTGAAACAAACAACTCATGTCATCAGAGGCAAGCAACTTACAATATCTCAAAGCTTGTACAGTTACCAATGTTGTCTGGGATTCTACCAGTTAAATTGTTTCCTCTGACATCACTGAAAAACAATATTTAAAGTAATTTAAATCAGAAAAACTACTGGGAAAATTAAAAACAAGAAAAAGAAACTGCACAATCAAATCACTAGAACTTACAAATACCACAGGCCAGTCAATTGACACATATCAGGAGAAAGAGTTCCAGTCAACTTATTGCCCCGCAATCCACTGTAAAAGGTATCCCATAGGACATTAGGATAAGAAAGACTTCAAATGGACCTCAAATTTCAACTTTAAGGTTATGCAACAAAACATTCTAGTAGATGGTCACTCCAACATCCCAAGACATGGTAATAAAGCAATAATAATTGTTACAGGGTTTCACCATGATGCAAACATTTCAGTAACTACACAAAGGAAGCCAGTGACTTGATGTGCAATCAGATGCAACAAAGGCAGCAGCACTTACAGATACTGCAAGACTTCATTCCAATAAATTAACCTGGGTATCTCCCCTGTAAGCTGGTTTCTTGCTAAATCACTGAAAGGACATCACAAAATCCAGAAGAAACTATTAGTAAGTTTGTCAACTATGCAAAGCTGCGAAGATTATCATCCGAAGTGATAGAAGAACTTCATGGAACTCACAGAATTTTCAAGTTAGGAATCTGGGTTAATGTTGAAGGAATAGGGCCTGTTAACTGATTGTTCTTCAAATTCCTGAATGAAGGGATCGAACTTAGCCTACTAGCAACAACTAAACACGTTAACTGAAATGAGAAAGGGAAGAAAACAAACTTACACAAATTCAAGCTGCTTGAGCTTAGATATGGAGAATGGTATGTCCCCATACAGCAGATTGTCAGACAAATCCCTGGATTATGCAGTACATAAATCATGAAAAAACCAAAAGAAGGAAGACATGCAAATAAACTTAGGAACCACGGTCCATTGAGGAATTACAGGTGAACAAGAGAGCCACAATTTCCAATCTCATCTGGGATTTGTCCGGTCAATTTGTTCCCCTCCAAATCTCTGACACGTTAGATTAAATAAAACGCCCATAAGAATATAAGCAAGCTACCGTAACGCCTAGAACTGAAATATACAGAGAGAGAAATACATGGACTGCAGATTCTTCAAGTCACCAATGGCAGGTGAAATTTCCCCACCGAGTATCAAGTTTGACAGGTTCCTTGAATCAAATATCCAAAAACACACCACAACGAATCACAAAAGAATCCCAGTTCAAACACCTACTATGGGAACAAAAAATAAACTAAAACCACAGATATCGCTAACTAGCTAATTGCCACCAAGAATAACTTGTATTACAATTAAAGGAGAAACTCACAGGGAAACAACAGAGAGGCTGATATTGTCACAGAAGACACCACGCCAAGAACAAAAATCATCATTGTGGACATCATCCCAGTCAAGCAACACATTTGCCACGTTGCTAAATGATGCCTTTATCGACATCAACGCCTTCCCTATAACCATCGTTTATCCTCTATTATTTTCTTTAAGCGAGATGTGGAGCACAACAGTTTCAACGACTGAATATATAATAATCAAGGTCATGACTTCCCTAATATCAAGCAAATTAGTGGCTTAAAACTACACTCTCCTTCGCCGAAAGGCATTCCATTTCCACTACAGCTAATGTTAATGACAAAGAAAGTTGAGATACACTTAAACCCAGTAAGCGCCACATCAAACGATTTAATGATTCCAAAATGTGGAGAAAATTTAGTTCTTAGCAATCAAACATTGTTGGAAACTTTCTTAGCGTTCTAGCTCCAGATGGAAGAAAAGGTAGCCAGATATATAAAGTTTAAGAGATGATATGCACCAAATGCTACAGTTTGAACCGCTTACTTACAATGCTCTTCAGCTAAAAACACAGCCTACCACAGTGAAAGATTCCGGAAAAGGAAACCAATAACCACAAAGGATTCAGTTCTGAAGCACATTTTATCAAAGTTTTGAGCAGTTAAAACAACCACTATAATTTCCAAATATGGAAAACCGAGCTCCAAACGGGCAAAAGAAACAAAACGAAAAGCTTCAAAACAATATTTACCAACTACATCACCCAGGAAAAAAAGGTACCTTCGTCATTGAGTGAAGAAGCAATAGGACAAAGAACAAGAAACACCATCACCATTACTAAACCGCCATCAAGCTCCTTCCGTTTCTTCCTCCTCTCCAACAACACCTCTTCTTCCATTCTCACCCGGACAACACTTAAAACAACCAAGAAACAAAACCCAGAAGAAAAAGAAGACAACAGAAAGGATATGTTACTGCTTTGATATCAAAGAAGCAAGCTTAAAAAGCTTGGGTTCATTGCGCAGACAGAGAAAGAAGAAAACAGGCGTTAAGCGTGAACTGCAAGGAAACGTAGAAACAGAGATGTTATGAAGAGAGAGAAAAACAGAGTCCACACTGTCTCTTTACTCTGCAGACAGACAGTGAAAGACAGAGAAAAAACAGCGACAAACTATCC